TCTCTCTCTCTCTCTCTCTCTCTCTCTCTCTCTCTCTCTCTCTCTCTGTCTGTCTCCTTTATTCTCCATGTGTAAAATCTGGACTGTCCTTGAACTCATAGTCCTCTTCCCAAGTGCTGGTAACATGCTTAGCTACCTGGATCTCCTCTATAATCGAAATAGAGGGTCTAGAGAGATGGCCCAGCAGTTAGGAGCTGCTGACTGCTCTTCCAAAGAACCTGGGTTCAGTTCCCAGCTCCTACACAGACACTAACAACCATCTAACTCCATTTGTAGGGGATCTCATGAATTTTGGCCTCCATGGACAGTGTGTGCACATGCCTAGACATACAGGCAGGCATACAGACACATATAAATTAGAAATAAATAAATCTCTGGAAAAAAAATAGAAATAAAATGGGACTCTGGGGTTTAATGAAGAGCACATTTATTCTTATTTTCCTGGAATTCTGAATATAGACATACTTTATGGATGTATATGTATCCTTGTGTATATCCACATATCACACACTCGTGTTTAACATGTATAGTTCCTGTCTGCATGTAACTTAGAACTTTCTCTTTTTCTGTTTTAAATTTATTTCTCAGTGTTGGAGATTGAAGCCAGGTCCTAACACACATGCTAGGCGGGCATCCCTATCACTTGACTACACACACAAACCCTTAAGCTCTTAACAAGTGAGAGCCAGCAGTGAACATGTCAACGGTACCAACCGACTCTACACATTAACCTAGACAAAAAGCCTCACCCTAAACAAGAGAGATTATCTACAAGCGTAAGCCTCTACTCTTGTTCCTGAAGATAACCGGCTCAATCACAAGAACAGACCTGAGACTGAACAGGGGCCTCTGAGTTTTGGCTGTGGACTTCATGGGTTAGGGTAAGAAGTAATGTCAGCTACCACTTTGTGTGGAGGGAGGGGAAAGATGCAGCCCTGACCAGATGGTCAAACTGTTCTCTGCCATGTTTCATGTGTGCAGCCCCCACTGGCATGCAGCAGTGTGGGGTGCAGACAGATGGCCACAGGTGACCTCTGACCTTTCAAGGTCAACCCTGTCCTGCAGCAGGTCTGGAGGAAGAGGAAGTTTGCTCTCAGGCCTGCTTCTGGCTTGCTTTTGGTTTCTGCTTTTCCCCTTTTCCTCCTGGGTCTCTACACTTCTCATCCACCCACTGCTCCTTCCAGCTTCTTTTGCATGTCTGTTTTCATTTTCCAGTCTCACCCCATCTTCCTTCCTCAGCATCTTCAGGGTCACTGCTGCCCTTGCTCCTTCCCAGTTCCCCCTTGTCTCGGTCTGTTTTTCTTCTTCTTCTTCGGGGCCCCTTCCCAGACACTTCTGCTTCTCCCAAATGCAGCTCGTATAGTTTCAGAATCACTCAGGTTAGTGAGGGCAGATAGGAACAACGGACAGTGGTTTTGGTGCTGGGGTGGTGTGTGTGTGTGTGTGTGTGTGTGTGTGTGTGTGTGTGTGTGGAGTATGTGAGCTTCTAGACAATGATGGGTGACTACTAAGAGGAAGTGTCCTAGTCCGTTCTCTGTTCTTATGACTGAGTGCCACAGAGTAGGCTGTGTGTGTGTGTGTGAACATGCATGTACACAAGGTGTGTAGAGACCAGAAGTCAACCTCTGGTGTTGTTTCTCAGAAGCTATCTTTTCCTCTCTCTCTCTCTCTCTCTCTCTCTCTCTCTCTCTCTCTCTCTTTCTCTCTCTGTGATATGCATGTGTGGGTGTGAATCTGGGCTTCCAAGGTTGCCCTCAGGACTCTTCCTCAATCCCTCTCCGGCTGATTGGCACATGGGTCTCAACTGAAGCCAGTGCTTACCCAGTCTCACGAGTAACCTTGCTTCAGGTCTCTCCAGTTTCCATTACAATGGAGCTGCTCCTTCACACCCTCACTCAGCATTTGTGGTTCAGGGGATCTGAACTCTGGTCGTTCTGCTTGAATGACAAACACTTTAATTAATGAGCCACCTCCACCCCCACCCCACCCCCCACTTTTTAGGCAGCCTCTCATTGGCCTGGGATCAACAATTAGACTAGGCTGTCTGGCCAGTAGACCGCAGGGGTCTATCTCCCTCTCCCTCCCCAGCACTTTGATTACTGGCATAGCCATCATGCCTGGCTTTTTCACCTGGTGTCTGAGGTCTTCATATTTGCGAAGCAAGTGGGTTGCACAACTGTACCATCTCCCAGCTCCCAGGGTTGGTAGTTTTGGATGAGCAAAGCCTTATTTAGCAAAAGGTACTGGGAGTGGGAGCTGGGACCTGCAAGCTTTGCTGTTAATGAGGACGCTGCAGTGCAGGGATCCACACCATGCAAGGAGAGCATGAAACTCGGAGACCGGCTGGCCTTTCTGATGCTGCTGGGCTAGAGATGAGTCATTAACCCCTCACTGCACGAATGCTTAATCCAATCATCAGGCAAAGTCCTTGTGACCTAGTCACCCCCTGAAGGTTTACAGGTTCTGGAAATGAAGATGTAGCCATCTTTTTTTCAGAGAGCAGGAGCCCATTCTTCACCCTACTACATGGAAATCTTTCCAGTTTTTTTTGTTTTGTTTTGTTTTGTTTTGTTTTGTTTTAAGGCACAAGGGAAAATAAGTAAAGCTTTAGGTAGAAGAAAAGAGTCTAAGCTGGAATTGTTTTTCTGTCTTTGTGCTTTTGTGTATCTATGGTATATGTACACAAGTATATAGGTACCTATGGAGGCCAGAAGAGTTAGATCCCTCAGGGCTGGACTTATAGGTAGTGGTAAGCCCCATTGAATTCTTTCTCTCCAGCCTCAATATATTTGTATTAGCAGGGAAAAATGTAATTTTTAGTAATATGGAAGAAAGGGTCCCTAAAGTAAAACTGCCTAGGTCTCAGTGGGACTTTAAGCAAGTTCCTGCCATGTGACTGAAACAGTACTTAGGAATGTTGGAGCACAGAGACCACACACTTCAGGATCACAGGACCCAGGCTCTGGCCCTAACCTGCTCATGAGTTTATCAACTTGGACAAGGCCGGATTCAGGAAACAATGGGTCAACGGACACCCAACTGGTTAGCATTCTCTAGAGACCATAGTGGCTAATGACTGGGTTTCCATCAGACAGAGCTGAGTTCACACTGCACTTCATAAGCTCATTACCAAAGTGACGATGCAGCTTAACCTCTCACGCATCAGCCCGTGAGTAGGATAATTCGATGGACAAAGTGCTAATCACGGTGGCAAGCGGAGTGCTTAGTAAGGAGTCACAGTCTGCGCGGCCACTTTTGTCTCTTTCATCATTACTCTTAGAGTTACTAGTATGGTTCCTGAATCGTCATCCTCAGAACTTTTAATACATAGCATTCACCCCGCACAAGTTACCTGAATAATTTCCAATTTGAGATATCAAAAGGCAGAAAGGCTTTCTAATGTCATGGGTTGTGGTAGTACCTGTTAACAGTAACCTTGACAGAAAGAAAACACAAGTGAAAACACTGTAGAGGACTGAATGCTAGCCTCATGCTCTGGCGGCTCTGACCTCATCACTAGATTTCTATCAGGCCAACGGACCCTGTTATGAAAAAAAAACTACTCTTCTTTCTAGTTACTCTTCTAGAGCGACGCTGTTTAGTATAGTACATACTATCCAAGTCTGGTTATTTAACTTTAAATTTAAATTCAAGTCCTTGGCTATACTAACTGCATTTCAGGTACAAAAGACTAGCAATGTGGCTGGAGGTTGCCATATTGGATGTGGCATGTGGCTAGTGGCTGCCATATTGGATGTGGCATGTGGCTAGTAGTTACCATATTGGATGTATGGATTCAGAATATCTCCATCATCACAGAATGTTCTACCAAATACTACACACATAAAGCCTATGTAAATAAATTATTAAATATAATCTAATTTACCACAAAGAAACTATAGAACCAGACAGTTTGGTAGACAATAGGTTCAAGAAGCATCTGAAAGTTTTACCTCTCCTTTCATTTCAATTGGATGTTTTTATTTGTTGTTATGAGTTTGTTATGGCTATTCATGGTTTTGTGAGTACTTCAATTCTGTAGATAGGCATATATAACAAGTACCTACCCCTTTCAGGTAATCTAGGGGTGATGTTAAAATACAGGAAGCAAATATGAGTAATGAAATGCTTTTCTAATTAATCTTGACTTTAAGGATTCTTATTTCTACCCACAGGTAAAATATATTTTATATTGTAACCTAACACAAGCACAAACACAGCTGAGAAAAATCATACAATAATCCTGACTCACCCCCCCCACTATACACATTATATTCTGATTGTTTGCTGTAAGAAATTTCTATTGTTTCTTGCTTCTTTTTCTCTTCTTCCTTTTTTCTTCCTTTTCTTTTTTCTTCTTATAGTGCTGTTTTTTGAAAACCCTGAAGATTTGCGTTTTGGTGTTGCTTGTTTGTTTGTTTGTTTGTTTGTTTTGTTTGGGGGATTGTTGTGTTTTGTTTTGTCTCATAAAGGGGATTAGCCATAGTTTGAATAGCACTTAGCAGCAGCAGCTGGGGTGGTGTGATAGGTAGTCTCAACTGTCAACTAGAATCATCTGGGACACCAGCCTCAGAGCATGCTTGTAGAAGATTATCTTGATCAGGTTAAACTGGGATGGGAGGGCCTGCCTACAGTGAGTGGCACTATTCCCTAGGCTAGGATTCTGGACTGAATGAGTAAAAGGGAGAGAGTGATCTGAGCAAAAGCCTTCCCTGCCTGTGGACTGTAGATGAGATGTGACCAGATACTTCAAACCCTGCCCCCTTGGCATTCCAGCTATGATGGCTTGTACCCTGAAACTGAAAACACAAATAACCCTTTTTTTGGCTTAGGTTTCTTTTGTCAGGGTATTTCACAACAGCACCAGAAAAAGTAACTAAAACAATTGGCAAAGTCAACTGTTTATAGTGAGTGAGCAAGCAGATGAAGGAACTGCGTGGGCTAAGAGAAGATGGAGAGGCCATGGCCTTTGAGAGAGAACAGAGGTTTCCACTGGTGAACTTTTAATTGCAGAAGAGACATCAAGCAGGAAATGCTGCCATTTTTTTGAAGAGTGACAACAAATTCTTAAAAACTGTGAACACAGCCACTTGCCAGTGAATGCCAACAATTCTCTCAGCTGATCTTGGTCTGATTAAGAGTTAATTTTCAACTTTTAGTGGTAGAATGAGAGAAAAGTTTTTTTTTCTATTAAAGCAAGAATTGAGAATCTTTCCAAACTAATAAGGCACCATCTTCCCCTATCTTCTCATGACTCAATAGGGAAGAAAGGAGACTCCTGAACTGAAGGAGGAATGAGGATATTTCTCCTGGAATAAGTTTCCAGTCAGCCAAGGACAGATGGGGTTGGTCATTCCAATAACATTCCAAGAAAGTGGCTTCACCTCTGTCTCATTAGAAAAGCCATGTTGTCAGCAAGTGTCTTGAAGCAGCCTCTCAGGAATGGCCCCTGGCCTTTTTTCCTTGAAGAGTCTCATGCTTCACTAAACCAACCAGATGTCCAGGAGTGGAGCCGCCAGAGTACAAAGGTCCATCAATCACGTTGAGGCACCCTTAAATTCCAATGGTGAGTCCCACGGCTGTGCAGTCAAAAGGTGTCAGCCAGCTTTGCATATGAGACCTCTGGTTTTTGCCTCAACCGTGTAAAATCATGAATATTCAAACACTTTTAAAGATAAATTTTGAATTCTGAAATAACTTAAGGTGTGTGGGGTTACCAGGAAAATTGCAAAGAGTTCTTACATCTTTTGACCCAGTTTCTCCAAGGTTGGTATATCACATAGTCAAGTTACATGTGGAAAAACTTAAGTCTCATTGCCATGTATGTATTTTCTGAAATGCTTTGTTTGGATTTTACTGATTTTTTTTCCAGTAATGTTCCCTTTTGGTCTAGAAAGCAGGGTAGTTTCCACATTGTATTTACTCAACTTTTTTTGTTTGTTTGTTTGGTTTTTTCGAGACAGGATTTCTCTGTGTAGCCCTGGCTGTCCTGGAACTCACTCTGCAGACCAGGCTGGCCTCGAACTCAGAAATCTGCCTGCCTCTGCCTCCCAAGTGCTGGAATTAAAGGCGTGTGCCACCACTGCCTGGCTTTACTCAACTTTTTAAAATCTATATCAAAAGGCCATTTTACATGGTTTCACCTAATACCTTAAGAATCAAACTAGCAACTAAAGAAGGTAAATCATACTATAATGGGGTCATTAAGTCCTAGGGAGGCAACTATGTTAAGGAATCTCTCATTGGCATGCATCCATGGCCAGTGTGTCTAGTATCATCTAGACTCTGAAGATCACCATATGTTTTTTGGCATCTGTTCATCTTCTAGCTGTGTTAAGTATGGGGTAAGTGCACAGGATACACAGGCTGCACAGTTACTGTTTGACCATGAACAAGAATTAAGAACCAAGAAACTCAAAGAGAGGCAGAACAGCTAGTTACTTCTTGCTCAGCAATCTCTATCTGATCTATTTCATTGTCTAAAATAGACACCATCTTGAAATACCACTGTTTAGAGTAGTTTGCTAGGACTCTTATAGCAAAGTACCACACACAGGTGTGTGTGAATTTCTAAGCAGAAATTCATTGTCTCATAGCCCCATTGGCTGGGAATCTGAGATCAACCTGACATTATCTTAGTTCCGTTTCTTCCGATACCTTTCTCTTTGGTTTATAGATGTCTCTCTTCTTGTATTCTTACATGGTCCTTTGTCTGTCCAGGTCTGTGTCTTGCCTGCTCTCTCTCATTAAGGAGACTAACTGGATGAGATGGGTCTCATCCTAATGAGCTCTTTAACTCTAGGGGTGGTTCTGATGCTAAGGTCCTGTTCCCCAATTGGTTCTTGATCTATCAGTAAAGATGCCATAGGCCAACTGTTGGACAGAAGAAATAGGCAGGACTTCCAGGTCCCCACAGGCAAACTGGGAAACATGAG